AGAACCCCAAACGGGGACACGAAAGCGGCTTCAAGGAGAGCGTACCATGCAGTCCAAACCACACCGCCAAGATCGGAAACGAAAGCAGCAGAAAATTGTAGGTAGCGCAGGCCGCGGGCACGCAACATTCCAACAGAAAGATATGAGGCGAGGGCAGCTTCCCGTCCCTCTCTATCGCGCTATGCAACGCGGCACTGCCCGTTGGGTGGGAAGTCGTACCTTCCCATCTCTGTCCTTCACCACGAAGCAGTCCACCACCCCCTCCCTCGGCAGCAGCCAGTGCGCGAACTCCTCCTCGCTGAGCTGAGGTGCCAGCTTGAACTGCTCCAGGTACTTGCTCAGGAGGGCGTGGGCGGACGGCACATCCTCCGGCTGCATCGCAGATACGTCTTTTCGATTTGCAGTGGCGGGCCGATCGTGTACCGTTTGTTGACGCCACCGCACGAAAAGCAGTGACGCCGTAGGCGATTGCCGTTGCAGCGAGTTCATTCACCACGCCGGTAGTCAAGGAGGCAAGGGGGGCTTAAATCAGAAACGAGTGGCATGGTTGCTGGGGTCTCTCGGCGCAGGCAAACTCATGACAGGCGAAAGCTTTACACACAACCAGAGTCTACACCCTGTGCAAGATTGTCAACCGGAGTTATTTACGTTGAAAGCCACCAAACGGAAACTGGGTGCGTACGTATCTGCAGCTGTATGCACCCGTTGGGAATTGTTTCCTCCAAGTCTCCGTGACATACACACGGTGAACACGCTTACGAATTCGCCGCTGTGCTGCAGTCACTCACTGGCGCTGTTGGTGTTGTCTGGTAGCTTGTACAGCTTCATTGTTCTCGCCATGGTCATGCGGTTCGCCAGACGGCTGAAGCCCACCTGTGAATCAAGGTGGACGCGACGAACAATCGCCACACACGCAACGTAGGGCACGACTGGCAAAAACGAAAAACAGCATACTTGGCAAACAAACCAAAAGACGCCGGCAACGGAGGGCACAAACGACTATCGTGAGGCCAGAAAAGACGAGGCACTGCGACGTTCATATTGCACACCAATACCCTCACGGGTCGACTGATCCCGGCATACTAGGGAGGCCATGCGCAACACACCACACCGACAGCATTCACAACAAGGCAATGAGGGAAACATACATGGCAATACCGTGAGGAAAACGATGCGAATGCATACGTACCTCGATGAGTTTCTTTGGGTTGAGGGAGCGGTGGTAATACCGGCAACACGCCAGTGGGGTCGGAAGAACAACCCCCGCCGTATACACCGCCTAGTTCCGCGCAAAAGAGAGAGAAGGGGGGGGGGGGGGATTTGCAGGGTACTAAGAGTCAAGGAGTGAAATTTTCACAGGGTATGTTGTGAAGCACGTGTTGCGTCGAAAAAACATACTTGTAGATACCATCTCTGTTTTCCCGACCACCGCATCTACAACGAACTCAAATATCATACTAAGGCGTGAAGCAAACATGACGAGACACTCAACACAGAAACAACACCTCCCATATAATGCCTACTGTACCACCTCAAGAGGGCGGCAAACATTGACGAAGCACACGAAACACCTCTCTCGTGCAGCACAACACGCCACGGCACGCAAACAGCAAACAGACACACTAGACGGTGGTCATTCTTCACAAATAAGCCGGTGAAGTCACTCCAAAAGAAAAAGAGACATGCATGTATGGACCAGAGACCCCAAGAAAAGCAGCCGCCCCTCAATTCAGTCAATAGCACAACCATGTGCTGGCAGCACGTGAAACGATGCTGCTGCGAAACGACTTCTTGCCGACGCCGGCATCACGCCTAGTTCCGGCGGGTTATGACAGTCGACTGAACGTTCATTATACCACTATTCTCGACTCCTTCATATCACAGAAAACAGAATGCACCAATACATACGAATCTACGTACATACCTGCCACACGCCCATCCTGTTGACCCGGCGAGTGATTTCCTTGATGAGCACCGGCGCCAGCCTCTTGGCCCTGAGCTTCTTGTGCACGCACAGGAAGTTGATCTCCACCGTCTTGATCGAAGAGTCCATCACCCGCATCCTGATTGGTCATGAATGATTAAACGCCACACCCAATCCATGCAACAAGGCGTCTTGATCATCGAAGTCAACGATTTCGATCGACAAGTCCGTCGCCCCCCTCCCGACCATGACAAAAATGCCACACCCAATCCATGCAACAAGGAGTCTTGACCATCGAAGTCAACGGTGTCAATCGAAGAGGCCATCACTCCCCTCCCGACCATGACAAAAATGCCACACCCAATCCATTCAACAAGGCGTCTTGATCATCGACGTCAAGAACGCCTGACAGACAAACACTCCAGCACTGTTGAAAAAGCACACAAATTGTTGGCCCTTACAGCGAAGCCAATCCACCACACGGAGCCCCCACCACGGAGCCCCCCAGGGTCTCGGAAACAAACAACTAACCAATCCTTTCACGTCCGTGAAACCAATGACACCGAAGAGAAATTACCTTCCAAACTGTATGCTGCCCTGTCTACACGGACACAAAACCTTGAAAAGGAGATCGTATACAAATGTGCGATGTATAATCCTACCCCCGTAGAAACGTAAAACAGCCACGTGAAGCTGAAAAAATATTGCACGGATGACCTCATAGTTTGCATAGCAAAGGTCAAGGCAAGCTGAGAGCACCACACGACAGGACTCACTGTGTCGGCACGGCTGTGATGAGACCCATCAGTTTCCCCTTGGAGCTCCGGACCCCGACGTGCAGCTCCGCCGAGTACCCTGCGTTGCGTTGATATCAAGCGGCGACACGAGTTCCTTGTCAACGGCCCTTACTTTCTCGCTGCAACATCAAGGACGGGAGGGGTCGGTGCGGCGAGATAGGTACCTGTCGCTGTGACTCCAAGAGAAAGATACTGGCAGTAGCGGGTTAAATAAAAACGCTTCCGCAAAAAAGAAGCAGAAGACGTGTGCAATACAGCGTGCCCTGTAAATGGTTTCCTTCATAGTGCCGACATGAGCAGAGTCCACAAAGCTTCCTATACCGTTTCTCCCACCGGTTTTACATTCCGGCCGACAAACGACGAACACCCGTTCCAGCCGCATCAAGGGTACAGACTTCTCCAGAAGAGAGACGAAAATCGCGAGCGGGTGCATCACTCGTAAACTAGCCCCTCGTCACACGCTTCGCTGTTTCTCACCAGGGGGCGTTAACGCCCATCGTAGAAACTCCTTCGAGTAGTCGAACCGGAACATGTTGTCGTCATCCTCCACGTAGTTCTCCGAGAGGAGGGTGTAAACCTCCTGCAAGGGGCGACGTCAAGCAACAATCGACGGAAAGCGGTGCTCACACAAGCGGCAAGAGCGACGGGACATGGCATACGCGTCGGTCGTACCGGCAGCAGCACCGCTGAATCCAAACACATTGCTCCAACTTGACAGCATGCACCAAATATGACAGTCCTGCGTTCGCCATCTACCGGTGTTTTCGTTTTCGTACAACAAGCATGGTACCAGGCGAGAAACGGCTAACACTCATCTGTGAGCTAACACCTGGTTGGCCGTTTGCATCAAGACTCGTTTCCACCGCACAAACGCCAGTCCAACTGATCATGCACGTATGGTCATATGACAGGGAAAAAAAGACGTGCGCGGCATCCCCAGAAAAAGTGTATCAACAACACCGCCGCCGCTGCGGACGCGAAACGCAAACAGCACCACCAGTGGCCGGCTCTCAACCCTCCCGTAAAATGCCCTCCACCAGATCAAATCAACGCTACAAAAAATCGCCAATAAAGGCGGTGTGTCTTTAGTTACCCAGCGATGTTGACGGGTAGACATTCTGCATGCACTCCCGACTAAAACTGGCCAAGCGCCTGAGGTGTTACCCAAGGCAGCAGCGCCGAAACACACGCAACCATCCAACACAACAGCAGTACCTCCGCTTCGGCGGCATCCATGACGTCAACATGGCACCACTCGAACCCAGGAGGCATGTTGTACGGCTCGGGCTTGACGTCGTCGATGGTCTTGGTCTCGATCTCCCCTGGCTCTTCCGGCTCCTCCCCTGGTTTCTTCATCGGCTGTGTGTCCCAAAACCTTCCCGGGGTGAAGCAAAAACCACGGTCGGGCGAGAAACTGTACCATGGAACCATGGAAAATTTCATGACAATGTGGTAGGCGTCCGTCGGTGAAAGGAGAGCCCATGACGACAACTTTGCAGGCCTTTGCGTGTTTGGGCGTACATATGGTAGTATGTTTGGGAAAGGGTTGATCGGCTGAAAAGCGGGTAATCAAACAACTGGCAGTCTTTCCGGGTTTGGTGCGCGTTGATGCAAGTACGTGTCGAGGCCTGGTTCCCAACTGACGTTTTCAGGAAGAGCGGACGAACCATTTTGAAAGTCATGTACTGCTGCTGTAGCGCCGGAAGGAACTGTTCAAGGATCGAGCCAGCGAAGCGTGATCTCGAAATAGGTTTTCATGCACCCCTTAAGGCAAGAGGCCCCGGGGTATGCAATCTAGGACGCACGCCTGGCTACATCTTCGTCCGAAGTTCGTTTCTGCTGCTACTCCAGTTGATTCATACATAGATTCGTAGGGGGGAATGAAAAGCTAGATGCCTCAAATAGCCAAATAGTTCGGGGAAGAAATTCAGTGGGTGCCCCAGTCCAACCGGTCGGTTTCCTTTGTATCCTACTGAAGTCATACAGTTGAGGCCCGCACTTAAGAACCCCCTATTTTGAGCGAGGCTCAGTTCTTATTGGCTGCCCCAACCCGAGCACGTTTCTCATTGGCCATGTACTTATTTCGCCGTCCCATTTTTCTCCAGCGGAATGTTCTTGTTCTTATTTCAACACCAATTGGCCTTGTTGGCGTACGTTGTATGAAAACGTACTTTGTTGGCGGCTGTCAACTGCACTCGGCGGAGTGTTTTTAGTGATTAGCATGAGGAACAATGCTGTTGTTTGGTACAAGAACACACCAAGGCATGCAGGAGCAACTGTCAACCGTTTTGGTCCACAAGGGTGACGTTGGTCCTGCGTACCCTCCCCGACCTACTAACGCCCTCAAGCAAGACCCAGGAGCCTACCGCCGCATCCAGATCTCCGGTGTACTTGTCTAAGGGCAGCTTCATCTTGCGCGTACTCTGGTCTACCTCCAGCTGCACACAGTAGTCGTACAGGTGGCGAGTGTCCTGCTGAGACTGCTGAATGATCAACCCTCCAAACCACCCCATCCCCAGCCTAACGAGCACTCCACGTCGCAAAAGCAATTTGTCAAGAGCAACGGGTTTAACTTCTTGAATGCGAAAGCCTGTCGGGATCTCCATTCCTTGTGTCTCGTCCTCCGGGTCTTGTGGGTCCATGCTGTCGTCGACGTTGAGAAGAGCTAGCTCATCGGTCTGGGTTTGAGACGTGCCTGCGAACGGGGCACCGTGAAACACCACAAGAAGTACGGTGTCACTGCCGAAACTCAACATGAACCCATCATACTTGCTCGTAGTCGTGAACGCGGAAACAGCACATCAGCAAAATCCAAGCAAATATCCACATGGACATCGTCATCAACAAGGAGAAGACAAAGATTGGGTCTAGTGCAAATCAAACTTACCGCCTNGCTTGTCCAAACCCTCCAAGGTGATCCGATCATTGCCTAAGCCGTCCACAGTCATGGCCATGCCGCACTTTTCGAAAAGGCGGAATCGGAAAGCCTGTTGGCTGTTGAGTCTTGCCATGGCCGCTCCAATCCACTGAGTGATCAGTACCCGCCGATCAGAAGCTGTCAGCGCCGCGGTTTCCCGCCTCTCGAGGTTGTCCGACTGCTCGAGCCACATGTCCATCTGCCTCCCAGCTTCCACCTTGATAAATCGTCCGGCTCCTGCATCAACTGGCTGTACGTCGTCCGTGCACTCCGAAGGGCCATACCAGGCGAGAGTGTTGCACTCCTTCGGAAGATACTCCTTGAAGTCGTCCGTCGTCTGCGCGTGCAAGTTGTCCATGATAAGAATGGACCTCGCCTTGGGAAGCTCACCCCGCCCGCGCATCAGGCCTTCGCGGTAGGACCTTGTAGCCCACTCCATACAGAACTTTTGGTCGGCCCAAGCACTCTCCTGGAAAAACACGTCCACGTCCTTGTGGTACGCGGCCTTCTCCACCGGCGAGATCCGCTTCCCCGTGCCTCGGAAAATCACCGAAATTCGCAAGGTCTTCTCACCCGGACCAAAGATGACTTGCATGGTGCACTGCCTTTTCTCTAGGCCAGGAAAGGGCTGTGAGATGGCGACACGCTTCGCACCTCGCTCCTCCCACGTATCGAGCAGCCCGTTTACGAATGCCAAAGGCACTTGATCCACATTCCAACGCTCCCAGAGCTGGAATTGGCCATACTTGGGAACTCTGGACTCCCTCTCTGCGACCGTCGTAATCGCCGATACGTCCGACTCATCGGGCGCCCTGTACCGTACCGGCTCTTGCAGGAGCTTGCGAAACAGTCGGTGGAAGCGCTGGATCTTTGGTAGGCGCTCCTCAACAGACTTGTTCTTGAGGTTGGTCCGACGTCTTTTGGACAGGTTGTGCCTCTTGGCCCATTTTCGTGCCCACCTGAAGGATGCGCGGAACGCCGCCGCCCGTTGGTCCCCGGGATACATCTCTCGCACGAGCTTCCGGAACGTGATCGTCAGCCACAGGGTCGATACCTTCAGCTTCCTCTTACGCCGCTCCACGAACATCTTGTAAAGCCTCTTTTCTGCCTCAGGAAACCACCGCTTAGGCTGCTGCTTGGCGAGGAGGCTCTTCTTCACGTCGTCTGCTGCCGCCGCGACTATGGCCTTCTCGTCCTTGGCCCACTTCACGATGTTGCTGTAGTGAACCTTGAGACGATCCTCTAAGTACTGAAGAGGCGTGCGCTCCTCCTCCTTCCAGAGGTCCGCGGCGTTGTCCTCGAGGATGCGCAGCTGGTTGACAGCATTGGCTTTGAACCTATAGTCGTATCGCCTGCGCTTGGGAGCTCCACGAGTTTCCTTGGTTTCGCGGTCCATAAAGCCGTCGCTTTCCAAGTCTAGATCGAGAAAGCGCTTCCGCTGGAGGACAAACGAAGCCGCCCCCGTCGCATCATCGACCTTCACGTGCCAACAACGCCCAGGCCCGGCTTCTTCCCACGGCAGGACACGCCCTTCGAGATTCTTCCGTAGCATCCGCCGCAGCCGCACGCCGTTGGACATGTTTGCACTGCTGTGCTGCGTTCTCACGTGTATCCCAAGGCCTTGCTCGTTCACGAAGGTCATGGGACAGTGAGGGCAGGATCGGCGGGACTCCGGGGCCGGAGGCGGGAAGCTGATACCGGATACGAACTCTTTCACTCCACCACGAGTCCGCTCAATCTGCTCGGTGCGATGGGAAAGGGCGGAATTGCCGTGTAGGGGATTCAACGAGCCATGTGACGTGTCAGTCGCTCTTAGTTGTGGCGCTGTTGAATTCAAACTTCCGTGGATGCCGCTGGCAAAAGTATCTATGCACTCTGAACGAATACTTCCTTGAAAAGATTATCGTGAATCACACGAGAGAGTGGGGAGATGACGTCTGTTTCGTTTGGGTCACATTAGACTAATAAACTTACCTATTTTTTTTTTCATTTTTTCTCTTGCTTAGACTATCGGGAAATAAAAAAACAAAAAACACCTGTGTAGCAAAACAAAGCAACAGCGTGCGTCGGATACATATGTAACCGAACTCACCGGTTGTCCGCTGCCAATCGAGAACGCGTTGCAGATGTTGCCGCCTAAAGTGCCTTTCGCAGCTCTCTCCCTGGCGTGCTTCCCTCGATCCACCTTCCTCCTCGCGGTACCCGCTGCAGCAGCAGGTGGATGCTGAGAAGGTGCAGCAGCACCTCGTGCGCTGCTGGCATCTTGATGGGATGACAAGGACAGGCGGGTGCTGCTGGTAATGCCCTGGATTTCAACATCAATCTGAGCGATCCACTCTCCTTCGTCGAAGATACCGTTCTGCTTCAACCCCCACGCGCTCTCGATGGCGTCCCACCGCTCCTTCGCAACGGAGTTTCCCGCCTTCATATGTGTTTTTATCGTCTCGAAGTGACGGTCAAGAATAAGTGTCCGTCCTTTCAACTCTGCAAGTTTGCCAAGATCTTTCATTGACCCATGGGATAAGGGATTGGACAGGGACATGACCCCCCTGTACGGCAGGCAACTCGTGGCCCTCTGCACGTGCGTGGCCTGGCAGCCGCCAAGGGGGCGCGACGTGTACAGTGCCCAACCTCNGTCCCCCCCTCCCCGTTCGAATGTTCTTATCTCGCAGATGCTGAATGTGCTCTTGTTCTTATCTTTAGCAGCAGTGGTACACCTCAGGCGTGCGTTCTTATTCTTAACTGCGGGTGCAATCTGAGCACGTGTTCCTACCGGATAATTCTTAATTTTTGTTTTTTTTCGCACCATATTCTTAAGTGCGGGCCTCAACTGTAGTACGGGGAGTGCGTCCAGGCTTGGACTGGAGTCCATGGTTTTTTTCGCACGAGGTGTGTAGCAGCGCACCTGCGGGCCTTCACATCCGCATTAGGCTCTTTTCCCTGTGGGATAGCGTCGTTTCGGATTACTACTGTTCTTCGCCGTCTCTCTGTGTGACTGCAGTGCGATCGTTTCCGACACGATGGAAGGGTCGATCATCTGTTCTATCGTATCGGAGGTTTCTCACCGACGACACCTCTCAGAACCCCGTGCTTCAAAACCTTGATGACCTGAGCACCGTAGACAAAGCTTGCAAGTAGCCAGCTGCAGCAAGCGCCAATTGCAAGGCTTGATGTATCACGCATGACTACTACAAGCCCGCCTCAGGCGCACACAAACCTGGGCTTCTGCCAAACAAATTGTTCACCAGCATATAGAACAGAACATGTACCATTATTTTTCTGTCTGGCCTCATGAATCGAGCGGTGAGCTCGGAGTTGTATCGATCTTCTTTGACTGGAAGTCGCGTTACTATGTGCCGTCGCGTGTGTGGTTCTGGGTCTCCTCTTTTTGTCGCGACATATCAGATGCATACTATATGTGGTGTGCAATACCCTAATCGTGTGTACGGTCCGTGCACAACAATTTGTCCAAATATTTCCCAGCACAAACGACAACTTTTCTCTGCACACCGGTGGTTGTTCCGAAATCCGAAAGTACGGGCAACCCCGCTTTAAAGACACACCACGTTTTCCCAAAAAAAAAAAGTGTCTTTAACGCGGGCAAGTGTCTTCGAAATTCCGGGGCCACTAACGCACCATCCCCGGGGCCAATAAAGGCGGAACATATGTCAGAAGGTGCGCTTTCGCAGCAGAAAGGCGACCACAAGAGGTGTTGTTTGAAACCTACGACAAAAGGTGATTTGAGGGTCGCAACCACTGCTGCTATTGTGCTGCAATACATACTTGCATACCATCGTTTGAATTTCCCCGTACTGTACCACCAAAACGCTGAAAGCGATGGTGTTCTACGACCTACGCATCGTACATATACACGACGGTAGTGTGCTGGTGTTGATATGGGCTTGATTATTTGCTTTATTTTATTTTTTAGGCGTTGTCCTCCCCGTGAATATCTTGCCCAAGATCTCGCTACCGCACCTGAGAATTATGGAAGGTTGTAAAACGACACTAGGAAAATGTAGGTTACGCAGAAACACACCAAAAATGTCGGGAAAGCACAGCGACAAAGAGGACACCGCGCCTCCCAAAAGGTCAAAACGAGCACTCTCTCTGCTGTCCGTGGGCTTCCTCTCCGATGCCACGACCACAAAACGCGTGCATGGGTCGCCCGCACGGACACTGATGAACCAGTGACACCAGTGCAGATTTGAACTGGCACGTCGGTTCGCCGCATGGCTTCAAGCCGGCAGCCGACGAACCGCTAGCAGATGGAATGAGTCTTTCCATACACCCACACGCAGTGTGCGGCTGCAGCAGACCGCTGTTGATGATCCAGGATCTACAGGTGCTGCAGCACATTTTCTGGGGGGGGTTGAATGGTGCAAAACCCTACCCCCCCCTACTTTTTTACATCTGCGGGGCACCATGTTTCTGAGATTTTTTGTGTCCTTAACGCGGGGAGTGTCTTTAAAGCGGGGACGACTGTACCGGCAAACGCCTTGTTTCCAGGCGCATCGCGTGACGGAGAGTTTTTTTCTTTTTGTTTTTTCTTGACTTTTCATGCTCGAAAAACCGGAAAACCTTGTTTTGTTCTTCCTGGGGTGTGTTGTGTACCGATGCCAAAAAACTCAACGGATTCGAACAGATCTCGCAATTTGCCAGACTTTTTTTTATTCAAAATATTCAAAATTGACGAAGATATCGCCCAAAAACCTGATATAGAGCACCAACTTGTATTGTTTTACACGAGATACCTAACCGACCGATTTCAAAAATAGACTGCGGCAAACGTTTCCTCTTCTCAATATCTCTGGGCTGGTATTTTTGGGTTTTGCTGGGAAAAATCTGGTTCTCGAGATATTCCACATTTTGTTGTGCCGAGTTGTGCCAAGCCATGGGAGATTTGGCCCACGAGATCAACATGGCGCCGGGTGGCGAGAAGGCAGCGTTGAGGATGTTCGAGGATGACAACGGCAACACGGTGTGCCCTACATTCGACCTTGGTGACATTCTGCTCACCGACAGGAACATCTTCTTGCCTAAGACGCAGGTGGAGAAGAAGCAGAAGGGGCGCAAGAACGGAACGGCACCGACAAGAAGAAGTATTGCGTCGGCACCAAGGTCGTGGCTGAATCGCCGCTGCTTGGCCTCAACAAATGAGCTGAGCAAAAGCTCCGGGAGATGGTGTTGTGGCGGCTTAATGGCGAGAGGAAGAAGGGGCTGCTCCAGATTTGCAACAAGTGCAAGGCTAACAAATCGGCGTCACAGCAAGCGATCACCGCTTTCAACAAAGGGGGGGAGGAGCGAGAGAGGGTTCTAGAGCAGGCGCGGCGGGAGCAGCAGAATTCTTCCACCGAGGGGCCCACTACAGCGGGAGGGGCGGCTGGAACGCGGCAGCGGTGTTGTGCGTAAATTTATCGGGTCTTCTCCGACCTGAGGGCTTCCAAGGAGCAGCTCAACAAGGTCGAGGAGATCTTCAAGAAGGCCGGGCATGTGCATCTTCCTTCCCAAGTACCACCCTGAGCTCAACGCCATTGAGCGGTACTGGGGATACATCAAGCACGTTCTTCGTCTTCACTGCGAGTACTCCCTCTCCCACATGCTCAAGATTCTGCCGGGCACAATGAGTGGCGTGCCTTTGGGCCACATCCGCGCGTGGAGCAGGGTGGCGTGGCTCTACGTTGAGGCGTACGACGACGGCCTGGAGGACTACCTCAAGGACCGCGACCTCAAGGACTGGCACACCCACCGAGAAGCCACTAAGCGGGGGGACGCCATCGTGGAGGCAGGGGGGTGGGGGAAATCCAAACAGCAACAGGAGGCAGCGGTGGCAAGGCAATGGCAGCTTCGCAGGAAAACCGAACCTTCTCCGTCCAGAGGGCGAAAAGGGCGTTCAAGAAGTGGAAGAGGAAGATGCGTGCGATGGCGAATGCGGAAGAGGAGAAGGAGGCGGAGAACGACGTGTCGTGATGTGTGTTGTTCAGTTTTGCTTTTGGCAGAAATGGTTTACCGGTGTTGAAGACATCTGGGGTGGTTGTACGGTGCACCCTCGGTGTTCACTAGTCTAGCCTACGGCCGTGCCTATAGGGGACTTTCTGTCGATACTTTGGGTGCACATGTATCGGATCGACATTTCCGATGCTGAAACACAGCCTTTTGGATGATATGTCCTGCAGGTCGATTTTGCATTAGACAGAATTGGTTTACCGGTGTTGAAGACATCAGGGGTGGTTGTACGGTGCCCCCTCGGTGTTCACTAGTCTAGCCTACGGCCGTGCCTATAGGGGACTTTCTGTCGATACTTTGGGTGCACATGTATCGGATCGACATTTCCGATGCTGAAACACAGCCTTTTGGATGATATGTCCTGCAGGTCGATTTTGCATTAGACAGAATTGGTTTACCGGTGTTGAAGACATTTGGGGTGGTTGTACTGTGCGCTCTCCTTGTTGAGTAGACCATGGTACCGTCCCCATCGGGGGCTCTTATCTACATATATATGTACGTATGTAAGGTACCACACGTAAAAATATACTTCTGTATGTCCTCTTCCGTTGTCTGGGTTTGTTTACCAGGTGTTCAACATATTTTAAGATATACCAGTACTGGTTACTATATATTGCTTTATTTATCGGGTGTTCAAGGCATTCGGGGGGGGGGACTCCGTGGATGATAATGGGAGGGTATGTAGTATTTGGGGGGCATCGTGGATCATTTTGGTCAAAAAATGCGGATGTTACATATCGGCAAAATTAAAAAAAAAAAACTCTGCGGCTGTCGACATATCTCGAAATCTCGAAGAGGCGGTCACGACTGTTGTTGTTTGACGTTTCAATTATTTTTGCATAAAAAGTTATCGCACAAAACGTGATTGGACAAATTGCTCTGCAAGGACTACATGTACATACCACATCAGTGCAGCGTATTCACAGTCTGCTGCCGCCACTGAAAGCGTCCTCATGAGAGGTACTGAGGTGAGACAGAACGATTTGCATTTATATCTCAATGCGAAAAACCATCCAGCATCATGAGTGCGCGATGGTTGAAGACCCATCACGCTGGCGATAGGCAGTCTCAGTTCGTGATGCCTGCGCGGACCGCATCTCGCACTACGGTAGTCTTCATGGAGATGGGCAATTGGCAAGGCGAAACACATTATGCTCTCGAAACCCAGCCACATCCACCACCTCCCACCCTCTCTCTGTATTTGGTCCGCTACAGTATTGTCATTTCACTCACTTGTGCTCTTTAGGCCCCTTGCTCGCCGCCGCCGCCCCCGCCCTAGCCACCGCGCTCTCTACCTGCTGCTTCTTCAGCATTCGCAGGATATCCGCCCCGTTGGACATTGCGCTAGCGCTAGCACCGGCACCAGCGCTGGCTCCCCCCCCATCGCTGCTGCCCAGCGCTGCTACTGTGTCGCCCCCGCCGCCCCCAGCAGCCGCCTGTTGATCGCCTCCGTTCTCCCCTCTCGCTGCTGCGTCGCCATCGGCAGCTGCAGCTGTTGCACCATTCGCTCCTGCTGCCGAGCTGCTATTCCCTGCCCCTGCATCCTTCACGCC